TTTCTCGGCCGGCGCTGCCGCGCTCTAATGGATTGCTGTTGATAATTCGGGGTTATTTTGTTTACCTAGTCTGAGAGCTTCTTTTTAAGCAGCTGGCTGGAAATGGGCATGGAGGCAGTCTTAATTCACTTTGAATAAAAAATCAATGAGTTTATTGTGGACAAAATAGAATACAGATGTAAACTGTACATGATAAAAGAATTAAATGTGTGTTTAACCTTCCTATTCTGTTTTTTCAGTGCTACTGGTGCTTGACCTTCTTTTGGTTTTGTGACTGTTCTCTTTCTTGGTAGTTTTTAAGTTTTAGATTTTACTTAGACTACAAAAACAAACTCTGCTGGTGTTTTTCATCTCAAGTGCTTACCAAATCCCCCAGATTTTACGAGATATTTAGAAAGTAATCTGCAGACTAAAGTCTCATTAAAACCTTTGTCCTTCCTCCTGTGGAACAAAAGTTCAGAGAAGTTCTGGTTGATTCTGATTTGGATATTGTAAACCAAAAAATATAATGGTGTGAAGTATTAATTTAGACTTGGCAGCCTGACTGCAAAATTTATTTCCAGAAGTTTCCAAGTAAAATGCAGCATGTCTAATAGTGTAAGGGAAAGCACCTTAGAAGCTCTTTCTTTTATATTATATAGGAGGAAAAATGTCACAAACATTAGTTAGAATAAGTCTTGGAGGTAAATTTAATTAAATAGCATATTGTAATGGAAATGTGACTGATTTAGTAGGAGAAACCACATACTCAGGATTTTCTTAGCTGTGCTAATTTTCAGTATTGCTTTATAATCAAGCTGTTTGAGAGATTAGATATAATGATAAATAAGCAATTTTTCTGTATCTTTGTTATACCTTGTGCTCTCCTGCTGCTCAAACAGTGCAGTTTGGTCGTTTCCCTGTTGTGGTCCTTTCCTCCTGTATCAGAGGAGAGGAAGCACAATTGGAAAGAGGACGTATTGACTAGGACAGTTGAAGGTATGGATCTCCCATGTAAGAGGAACGAGTAAAGAATTTTAGGTCCCTTAGACATGGAGATACCACATTTATCTGTAAAATCATGGTGATAAGGCAATGACTGTTCACTGCATTTCGGTAGTAGAGGTACAAAGGGTCATCAGGCAGGACTACTATTTGCTGGTTGAAGTAAACGAAAGTAGTTCTTCAGGATTATTGAATGGCAAAATGCGTTATTGCTGAAGTTACCTGGTTCTGGAAGGATCTGCATTGTAAACTGTTGGGAGGTCAAGAGAGTATTGGCAGCATGATGCTATGTGCTTTTCTACTGTCCTTTTAGTCTTCACTGAGTATTTTGTGTTGATGGCCATCAGAGACGGGATATTCAACTATACCATGGGCATCTGCTATGGCCAGCAGTGGCTGTTCTCATAACAGCTCAAAATGTGTTGATGTTGTCTCAAGAAGGGTGTTTCTTGGTGTCCATGAAAATGTTAAACAGCGTCAAAAATAATGACATTTTAGGCAAAAGTGGGTTTTTTTTTTATTTCTGAAACAATTACAAAATAGTGTATTTTACATCTTGTGGGATATTTCTCAACAGAATATAGATGCACAGACAAAGATGTGCAGTTGTTGTATATTGACAGTGCATTTCATCAGCAGGTGGTATTGGATTTAAGAAGCTGAAACATGAGACACGTGCTTAGAGATGGTCTGTAAGATGATACTTTTTGTTGAAAATCTTGTAGTTAAGTATTCCCAAGATGGTCTGGACAGCATAAACAGTGCTACTGTGCAAGAGCTTTTATATTTTGAGATAAAAGAAAGCAAAATGTTTTCAGTTGTGGGTTTTTACTTCTGAAATATATGCTAATTTAATCTGAAGCCAAAGAGAAATGACTTTCAAAAATAGTTTTGCAGACCTGATGAAGTTTTTCTGGTGTGATAAATAACTCTGCTGCAGTTCCCTTCAGGAGACTACCTTTCTATTCTGGATTTATGTTGGGTGTACACTGCAAATCAACAATGTTAAGAATAGGAAGGAATATAAATAGTGTGCTTCGAGGCAGTTTTTTTAGATGATGTAATAGTTTCAGAGTGAATAATGAAATCTGAACATATTTCTTGAAGTACACGTGCTGCTGTACATGAGGCAGAATCTGGCTGGATTCTCAGGTTCAGATCTCTTAACAGCCCAAGAATAAGGGGAGTAGGGGGTGGGGAAGTGAGGTGAGTCATTGTTTATTTTCATGGTGAGTTTTTAATATTTTTAAGAGAGTAAGTAAATTGAGAGTAAGTGCTATGGGGAGGAAAAAAGAGGGACAAAAGCCCCTAGGAATCATTGCATTTGATTTAACAGATGATGTGGATTCCCTGTTTAATTCAGTCAGTACAGAGGCAGTGCCAACGCTGTTCATTTGGGAACTCACCTCTGTATGTCTCCCTGATCCCACTTCCTCCAGGGAATGAGTCATGGGATGTGGGTTTAATCAGTAGGGTAAATAAAATGCCTTTACGGGAGAAGTATCTAAATATCTTACTTCTGGTATGTTTGGAAATACTTTTAAAAAGGGATGCCATTGAAGGTCATCAATGGCTCATTTAATTTTTACCTCTAATTATACTGTGTGTCACTGCTCAGTGATGTGTCATCCCCTTAGCCTCACCTACCTTCAGGAAAGTTTATTAGCAAGGTTCTAAATTTTTGGGGAAGAAAACATCTGAAGGATGTAACCTCAGAATGTCCTTTTTCCCTTCTAAGTGGGGTATTTTGACACCTAAAATAGATACTGAATCTACAGGAATGGATTGGATAATCAAAATTTCCCATTACTGTTTTGCTCAGTACTGAAGAAGCTCCATTTTGTTACAACCAAACTAGTAATGCTAATAATTTTATACATCCCATTTCGTGACAGAATATGACATTATGGAAGTAATTGTGAAATTTAGAACAGGGCTTATAGTGATATGATTTTCACACGTGGGATTCACAAATATGATCTATTTCAGGATGGAGTATCTTCTGAGAAAAGCAAGTGGCCGAGCAATCTCTGCTTACAGCCATGAGCATACCCACGCTACAAGGAAAGGCTGAATTGCTACCTTGTGCCTTCTGTGCTTAAGTGAAAGGTGGTTACTTGGCTATTTCTGCCTTCTTGCCCAGTTGAGAAAATGTCTTTAAATCAGCAAGTTATTACGTTCTAATTTTTTGTCTTTTTAGATCTGACTGAAAAAGACATATTTTTCACCAAGTCTTTAAATGGTTTCATCTGAGTACTGGTGATTAAAAGTGGTCTTTAAGCATTCCTTTCACATACCTTTCAACTATTTCTGTTTAGATAGCGTAACATTTCAAAGCGGTTTATTTAATAATGTCATTTCCATTCTCTGGCCTTAGAGGATTTTCTAAGGCCTTGAGGTTTAAGCTTCTCCATGGAACTGGAGGAATATTGTTTTAACTTAATATAGAAATTTGCATTTAATTAAAAAAATTAAAAAACACACACACAAAAAAATCCTAACATATAGATCCTGAGTTTTTCAAATGAGAAGCGTAGAGACATGCAGGCTCAGTTTGGAAAGACATATCAGGCATTTGACAAGGTTTGGCAGGAAGCTTGGTTGGTTATGTTTTTTTCATGCATACAGTTATGACTTTGTTTTTATCAGAGATAATTCTTTTATTTCTTGCTCAACAACTTACAGATGGTGGGAAATATGTAATGAAAGAAGTTAATGCTACTGTAAATATTAAGTGTGGAACAGTAAGAGAGTAATAGGGATTGGAAATTTCTTCAGACATTCAAAAAATGGTTCTGATTCTCCAGAATTGGGTGTTGCTGCATGAGTGTGTGTCTGCAAGAGGAACAGCAGAGCTTGTGAATGCGACTTCTTAAAATATGCCTTCATCACCAGACTGTAGCCGCAGTCGTTATCTATATCCCTTCCCAAACATTGGTCAACTTAATTCAGGACCACTTAGCCTTTTTGCATAGTAGATGTTGGGAACAACTTCATATCAGATTATCATCTTCATTACCTAGCTGAAGTAATTGATATGAAGAACTCTTAATTGCGTCAACTGCAGTGTGAATTCTTGTAATGCTCAGTCTTTTAACTGTTGCCTCGAAACCTGAATGCCTGAGATCCTTAAACATTCATTCTGTTTTCAAGCTGATACATGAAACTAATTTTCAGTTTAAAAATTAATTTGCTATTGCCACCATATAGCTCTGAATATTGAGAGGATATGGGTTGAATAATGGCTCAAAGATAGATTTTTCTGATTTAAGTTATAGGCTGATGAATAATCTTTAAATCAAATGAAGATCTGATTAGAGGAGGTTATTATTGCTGAGGTGGTGATTTTCTGTGTAGCTAAAGGGAAAATAATTATGGCTGTTTAGTCTCTGGGAATGTCTGCAAAGAGTATCTTTTTAATAAATCAACAAAGAATGGTAGAATTTCACTAATCATTACCTGTAAGCTATTCCAGGAAAACGTCCATAAATTAAAAAGAAAATGTTACTGTATAAGTAGCAACGAACCAAATGCTCCATCACTAACGCAATAAAAATAGCGTCCTGCTTTACTGTTAAGTGGGATTTTTTTCCTCTTAGATGTTTTTTGGTCTCCATTATTTGCTAGAATGAACAACACTTGAGACAAGCTGCTTTGGGAGATGCTGAGTGCTTCAGTGTTGGCACCAGCACAGCAGAACTCTGGAGGATAACTAAATAGAGAGTTTCAGTTAGCAAGGCCAAAACTTTTGTAGTTCATCTCGAATACCATAAGACCATGTTATGTTAATTTTGCGTTGTCTTCAAGTGCAAAGGTTCAGTTTTTATTCCTGAGATGGGGCTGAAATTACTCAAGGAGTAACCTTGTGATTTCAGTGAAGCTGTTTCTGCCGCCTATGGCGAAGATTAGATTAAAACTATTCCTTGTTCATAGGAAAATCTGGAAAGTTGTAGGCAGAATGTGCAAATGATGTGAATATTCTCTTTTTTTTTTTTCCCCTCTTTTTCCCTTTCCAGGGTCAGTACCGGCCTTCTGATTTGCTGTGTCCAGAGACATACAGCTGGACGCCTATTGAGCAATGCCTACCCCTGCTTGAGCATTCAAAATACTGTCGATTCAACCAGGACGTCAAAGCGGGTAAGGTTACAAGGAATGAGAAGTCTGCGAGTTGTCTGTCTTGTTTTTATAACATAGTGGTATCATCTGCTGCTGAAGCATTGTGGAAATCTATCTGTGAAGGATAGAAAGTGTAAAATTCACTACTCCTCTAGAAAGCATTAGCAAATAGAGGGTTGTCTTTTATTCTAAAAGAAGCAGCACAAATTTTAAATACGTTCTGGTTTACTGACTACGTGTAGTTCAAAAATGAACACATATTGCTGCCTTTCAGATAATTATATTTGTTTTTCTGTGTGTGAACAAAACCAATCAAATAATTATTCCTCCCTTAGATTCCAGACAGATGAATGCATAAATAAAGGAAATAGCAATCAATGCAGGATAGTGAAAGGGCTGGAGAAGCTAAAAAGCATCCAGTGCTTTTGTTAAGGAACAAACTGACAGATTTAGTTTAACAATCTGTCAGTTAATTTGAAGCACACAGTGAATTGCAGAAACACCTTAAACATCTTGAGGTAGATGGGACGTGTATTTTTATGTTCTGTAAAATAGATATGTAGTAATTTGCCAGCACAGAGTTGTCAAAAATATCACTGAGCAGAACAACGTACAGTAACGAGACTGTAAACCAATGCAATTACATGGATAAAAACACACGTACTTGCTTTAGCTACTGACTCTGAGGGCTGATTGCAGGCTCCATGTCCAGAGATGTAAGTGGGCAGCACATCATGTCTTGATCAACTAGAGTCATTGTTAGATTGGTGAGATGAAATTGGAAAAAGATGACAAAGGTAGGAGGAAGGAGGGAAATAGGTTTGGAGGCCAGTGGTGTTCAGGATATGCTTGTTATTCGGAAAGAAAAGTGCATTCATTTAAGTGCAAAGATGACAACTAAACCTACTGCCTTTGAAGGTGATAACCCAGTACAAGCCAAGGGGCATCATCTTCTTGATTCCATGAAATTCCTGTGGCATGCCACACATATGGAAACTGCAGGATATAAACCTTTGCGTCATTATCAGCACAGAATATCTCACTCCAGACGCCACTGGAACAGTGACTTATGTCCTGTGGTTTAAGGAAATTAAAACATAGCTACATGTTGAAATGCACTGGACCTGCTGTGAGCTTATAGTCATTTGAGATTTAAGTAGTTGCTAGCTCTTAGGAAGCTATTTCATAAGAGTACAATCATTTTCCTTCCTACTTCTTTACTTTCTACAGTAGACTGTAATAGGAGTTTAATGAAGCTGAATTTAGAGAAAAGCAATAGGAATGATGGTGTGCTTTATTCCTTCTGAATCAGCTTTCTACAATACTGCCCCTGATTATGTCAGTGAAGTAGGTCATGATTTATGAGGAGTGGGACTTGTGACGTAGAAACTGCGGGCAATAACCAGATCCCGTAAACAACGAGGAGAAATAGTGTGATTTGCTTTGCTGCCTGGGGCAATAAAACAGTCACTGGAAATGGTCATCTTTTAATATTGTCTGTACTGTAATGTTTCAGAAGTGTTCTGACCTCACTCTGGTTTGTTCAGTATGTTTGGCAATTTTTGAACTGCTTTTCCCTTACTTTAAAAAAAATAAAAAATTTACCTAGTAATTTACCAATTGCAGGGTTATAAAATTGCAGGGGTTTTTTAGCATTCTCAGCAGTGAGTGCTACTTCAGGAGAGGGTGCTGTGCGCTCTGATCTTCCAAGTCTCTGCAGTAGGCAGAGGATTTCTGAGTATTCAAACACATTGCAGAGCTCCTATAATCAGATTTATTTTTTTATTTTCTGGGAGGAAAAAAAAAGATACAAAAAAGTAGCAAAATTTTTCGAAAGTATCAGAAAATACTGACATTTGCAGAGGATTGTTGCCTGTTTTGCATTATGTGGTTTTGTCCCAAGCTTGAGCATTTTCAAATGGTTTTAAAAGTGTATTGTTTTCCATCCGATTCTCCTCTGACGTCTAATACTTTTGTTAACAGTTGGAGAATGAAGAAGAGAGGACAGACAAACTAAACAAAGTTCTTAACTCTTTATACCACAGAGATAAGTCTGAGAAAGCATCTAACAGTTAATAACTTAAAAGAGCAATCATAGGAACCATAATAACTTTTTCTTGTATAGGATGGCATATCATGGATGTCTGACGGTTGAAACAGGTCCAGCCTTTTACTAATTCTGGCCAGTGTAATGAGGTTCAACCTTACTTAACCTCAGAACACTGCAGTCATACAGAGACAACGATGAGATCTTGTGCCAGCAAGCCCTCAGATTTAAGAGTTAAATAAGCTGCTCGTGGGCTCTTTATGTGCAGTTCCTAACATGTACTGAAAAACACCAGTTACTTCAGGAAAAAAAATGGCAACACACAGAAACATTCATGGATGAAAGGTCATGTTTGTCAAGTATTCTTGCTTTTGTAAATTACCAGTTTTGCTTAAATTGCTCATGTCTCAGAACATATTTTTCAGTTTTTGTTGTCTGTTCAGTTTAAGAGTTCAGAAGACCTGGCTTCATCTTATAAATTAGAGGCTTATTAGGATTCTGATGTGTTTAATAAAAAACAGTGGTCAGTCGCTTACAAATTGTGCTGTTTTGGCTGGAATACAGTTAATTTTCTTCACAGTAGCTGGTATGGGGCTGTGTGTTGGATTTGTGCTGGCAACAGTATCAATAACACAGGGATGTTTTCATTACTGCTGAGCAGTGTTTACACAGAGTCAAGGCCTTTTCTGTCCCTCACTCCACCAGCGAGGAGGCTGGGGGTGCACAAGGAGCTGGGAGGGGACACAGCCGGGACAGCTGACCCCAACTGCCCAAAGGGATATTCCATCCCATATGGCGTCATGCTCAGCATGTAAAGCTGGGGGAAGAAGAAGAAAGGGGGGGGATGTTGGGGTGATGGCATTTGTCTCCCCAAACAACCGTTATGTGTGATGGAGCCCTGCTTTCCTGGGGATGGCTGAACCCCTGCCGGCCTATGGGAAGTTGGGAATGAATTCCTTGTTTGGCTTTGCTTGTGTGCACAGCTTTTGCTTTACCTAGTAAACTGGCTTTATCTCATGCCATGAGTTTTCTCACTTCTACCCTTCCGACTCTCTCCTGCATCCCACCATGGAGGGAGTGAGTGAGTGGTTGTGTGCCGCTCAGTTGCCAGCTGGGATTACATCATGACACAAATAAATAAGCAGTTAGTGAGGTAGGGCAGTAATAGAGGCTTTGGGTATTGATGCGTTCTGAAAATGGAGATTGTGCCGAGCTGCATTTAACAGGCCATTACCTTTGGCTTCATAAGGGTGAGCCCTATATGAAATGAAGCTGTAAGTATAGATGGAATTATAGTGAACAAAAAAGATAAAGATTGCTTTGCAGATAAGTAGTAGTCCATGACTTTGAAGACATGTCAAAACTGATGAGTAAGTTCAGTCACATGCTAGCATCTGCTAAAATATTCCTGGGCATGGTCTGTCTGTCACACTAGTCAGCTTCCTCCTCTCAAAACTGGTCTTTAGGGTTTTCCTTTGTTGGTACTTTCCATGGGCAAAGCTGTTAGTGAACAATTGCAGCATGAAAAGAATAATAAGTAATGTACTTGGTATCCAAGCCATACTTTTATCCTTCCACTTTCCATTTTTCTGAGACTAACCCACCGCTGTCTATTTTTTTCTAACATCTGTTGTGCATTTCAGCTTGTTTCTCCTGAGAAGCCTGTGAAAAAATATCGTCATGAAGTAAAATCTTGATGAAAATCTACTTTTGAGATGGTAATTAAATTATTGGGAAACTTCAAATCTAGCTTCCTATCACCACTGGACTGTCAACACCTGTAAGAAACGACTTCAGATAAGAGGAGATACAAGCCCCATCTAAAGTGATGGCTTCAAAGCCTCATAGCTTTATAGCCTCTGACTGTGTCACGTAACGTGGGGTGTGTATGTCCCAATCAGGGTGCTTTTGTGACAAAGCTATGCTTGATCCAATGCTAGGCATGGCCCACAGCAGTCTCGGTGGTGGAAGCAGCTTCCCACCTTCCCGTGTCTCTGCTTTGGGCAGAAACTTTGAGCAGTGCAGATCAAACAGGACTTCAATGGTTTTTTTTATCTCGACTGCTTCGTTTGCTGAAGTTGATAAATCGGCAGAGCTAGTACACATCTGTCCAGCTTCCTGTGTGTCTAATAATAGCGTGAAATCAAAATGGAATACATTAATTAAAATGAAAGTACTTTCTCCAAGTGTTGAAAAATGCACGTGACAAAGGCATCCATAGACTCCTCTGTGTTGGCTTTGTGTGTTCTTGGAGACAAGACACTCTTTACTCCAGAGAGGGGGTAGTCTAACACAAACCACGATGGATGCAAAAGGATGGTATGAAGAAGCAGAGAAGCACCTCTGGTTTGCCTGGTCAATTATAGTAATAGACTAAGTTACAGTCTGTTAATAGACTAAACAGTAAATATACCAAACTGACTGAACTGTATGATTTTTTTTGTAAAGGTGACAGTGGAGGAGACTTTTGAAGAAGGATCTAAGGAAGTAAATCAGTTGTCTTCTAGAGTTTATGGAGAACTCTTTTGCAGTATCAGAGGTGTAGGAGAAATGAATAATATGGGGAGACACAAAGGATTTTCCTTCAAAACCAGATACAGTCATCTGGGATATCAGATCCCATCGTCAGTCAGAAGTGGAACTTGCATTACTGCCTGTAGGTGAGGCTGAAACAGACTGTGGAAGGCTTTAGGGGTGAGCTCTGATGCAATCAGGGTATGGGTTGCTGGTAGAGACTGGAAATGAAGGTGAGGTTGAAACAGACTGTGGAAGACTTTAGGGGTGAGCTCTGATGCGATCAGGGTATGGGTTGCTGGTAGAGACAGGCATGGAAAGAGGGGGAAGTAAATTTTGCAGTAGTTCATATAGGTAGAACGATGAGAAGGACTTGACAAGAACAAAAGAAAGCTGGTAGGATGAAAATTTAAAAATCTGGATAGATATTTGTAGAGAGGAGTAAGACAGGTTGTTTCTTAGATACACTATGTAGAAAAAACCTAGAAGTGAAAACCTGAGGAGATCAGGTATATGCCAGCAGAAATTTGTCAGTGCCTGACAGTCCAGCAACCACCTCCCTCTCACCGGTGACGCAGACAAGGCTTTGCCTCTGCCATCTCCGCGCAGCAGTAATGATCTGGCTTCTTCCAGCAGAGCAGTGGAGGTCCTTAGAAGAAGGACCTGCTTTTCAGTGGGCTGCCTGCAGCTGCCCAGGAACTGGTGAGGCTGAAATCCAAAAAGTAAATTGCCTCATGTTCACCTACAAATCTTAACCATCAGAAAAAACCCAAACTAACACTAAAACAACACTAAAATCAGTGCCTGAACTCTCCTTTCCAGAAGCATTAGTCCAGTGATCTATGCCAGAGTCCTGGGACACTACAGATACCAATGTAGGTCTCACTTCAGGCTCACAAGAATCACTCTGTAAAAAACCCTATTCAATGTGTTACCTTATGAACAGAGGTGATACAGGATCACTGATTTTTGACTTACTAAGCTAAAAAATTGCTTAAAATTTCCAGTCTTACTCTGTCGTAGTCTTGTAACGTTTATTGCAATTTTTTACCAGATTTCTAAAACTTCTAGGAATACAAGCTTAAAAAACTTCTTTTCTTCAGAATTACATCTTTCTCACATACTACAGAACTAACTTCATTTTCTTTGCTATGGACAAAATTAAATTTTCACTGCTTTGTTATTCTGCTGCACATAGTAAGCTGGAGTAGTAAAAGGCAAACAGCACTCCCAGTATTTCATGTTGCAGCTTTGTTATTCTGCTGCACGTAGTAAGCTGGAGTAGTAAAGGGCAAACAGCACTCCCAGTATTTCATAACTCCTCAATCCTCTTATTAATA